AGTTCGGGCGAAATCGAACTTTATATACCCGACGCATGTGTTAAATATCGTTTTTTCAGCTTTCAGTAAACAATGATAAGAAAGAGTAGACGTCAAACATTTTCGATAATATGCTATGATATATAGAAATAATTGGAGCAAGTTTGGTGGAAATCTATAAGGGGGTTATCGATACACACTTATGTAGTCATAAGTGCGTGGTGACACGCCCATTTTACGAAAGTCAATAATCTTGTGTCTTGTTAAGAGATTGATGTAAGTTGGCGTCTTTAGTTATTGAAATATCAAAATTTGCATATTTCTGAAATTTACCGTCATATGGTAAGTGGCGGTAATTTTAGTCCGATTTCAAAAATTTTCAACATAGTGATTTTTGGCGTCAAGGTTGTTAATGTGCCGAGTTTGGTTAGAAATTGATAAACCGGTTACCGAGATATATGTATGTACATATCGTCATTCAAAGTACATAACCGCGTATCAACAAAATGCAAAACCGCGTATCAAGATATTGAGAGTCAAACACTCATACTTCAAAATGGTTCTTTTTTATAAAGCAATCGCATTTCTGGCTTGTATTTTTCAGGACGAATGGATAAGGATTGAGACCACAGCTTGTGTGTGAGCAAATCCAATTTTTGGCAGCAAATGTCAGTTAAGCGGTTTTGCAGAATGACGATACGCGGTTTTGTACTTTAAACGACGAAATGTAGCCGAAAAAATTTCATTGTCTATATCGCAGTTTTCGTATTTCTGTAAATTACCGTTATATGAGAGGTGGGTGTGGTTCTTGCCTGATTTCAAAAATTTTCAAAGGGTTTCTTTTAAAGGGGTTCGTAGTAAGTAGGTGGGCAGTACCACGCTCATTTAAAAAAAAAATCATAACTTATTTTATGCCAAAGCTCTACAATTTGGATCCAGTAGTTGTGGAAATTTCGTTGGAAGTTGGATAAAAGCAACTTACCTACCGAATTTCGTTGACATATTTCAATTTTTTCTCGAGTTATCGTGTACATGGACGGACAGACGGACGAACAGACATGGCTTAATCGATTTCTTTTTTTCATTCTGAGCATTTATGTATTCATTTGTCTATATCTATCCCGATTGGTTTAGGCTTTTACAAATAGCCGTTATGCGAACAAAGTTATAATCCCCTTGTGCCCAAGTGCGCTCGGGTATAAAAAAGAAAACTGCAATGCCGTCTACGTTTTCTTCAAATCTACATAAAAGTAATATATTAGGGGTATTATGGAGGTCTGACAAAGCCAGTTGCACGGTTCGGTCGTTGATTACCACAAAAAATATCCGAGTTTTGAAAAAGGCAATTTAATATAAGTCATTAATAATTATGTTATACATTAATAGCATCAATAAACCCATTTTCATTCATTGTAATAATTGTATACTTTTTTTTTGTAAATTTTTGGTCAAAATTCAGTTATTTTTTTATGGACAACCCATTAAGGATTGGCGATGGAGGGTAAGTTTGTTCTAGAAAAATATTGGAGACACAAAAATAATGGGGCTGTTCATACAATTTACCTCCCTAGGCGCTACACCTGAGTAGTTACGAGAAATTTTCTTTCCATTTTGCCCCAATTTCGTTCTCACAAACTTCAAAGCCCGTGCGGCATGGCAATTTTCAACCGATCGAGCTCAAATTTTTGTAAATTTTTTTTACCATAACCTCACACAAAATTGCTCTCCGATTTTGGAACAGATGAGTTTTCAATTCTCCCATACATTGACCTTAATGTACAGCTGCGTGCACTTAATTAGAAACGAGGTTATCAGCACTTCATATATTTGAATAAATCCGCGAACTTTCTAGTTGCCTTTGATTATTAAATGTCAAAACACTTGAAATACATGCGAGAGGATTCATAGAATATGTTTTGCAGTTTACTTGAATTACAACGTTACTTGGTTAGTTTTTTCTTAGTTCGCGTCAGGAGAGCTCGTGCACGTAATTAGAAACGCGGATATTATTTTATATTATTTGAATATTTTAAACGGTAAACCATATTGTTTGATATTTTGTTATTTATCTAACATCCATCTATCATCCTTTAGAAGGAAAACATGGGAAAGAATAAGAGTTGCGACGAAAATACCCGAAAAATTATCGTACACATGCAAAATGATGGAAAATCATATGGGTCCATTGCAAACAGTTTAGGCATATCCAAAAAGATGGTTTTTAATGCTGTGCATCATTTCAAAAGATATTCCACATTTATAAATGTTCCACGAAAGCGTAGACCCAGAAAAACAACCGCTCACGAAGACAGCCTCATAATAAGAGAATCTAAAAAATTTTCGCAAAAAACAGCATATGAAATAAGAGCATCCGTATTTTGTGAAAATGAGAACAGACCTTCCAAGGATACAATAAAACGAAGATTAAGAGAGGCTGGGTTATTTGGCCGAGTTTCGTGGAAGAAGCCCCTTATAATTGAGAGAAATCGGAGAAGACGCTTGGAGTTCGCCATAAAATACAGCAATTGGACGGTTAAAGAATGGAAAGGAGTGTTGTTTTCGAACGAGACTAAAGTAAATAGAATCTCAGCTTATGGAAAAACGTATGTACGTCGCCCAAAAGATTGTGCATACAATCCCAGATACACCCGCCCTACTGTTAAGCATGGTGGTGGTAGTAAAATGTTTGGGGGGGTGTATGTCATGGCGCGGCGTTGGGCCTTTACACCCGATTGATGGTATAATGGACAAATTCCAATACATTTCCATCTTAAACAACGTTCTCCTACCGTATGCTGACGAAAATTTGCCTGTGACATGGATTTTCCAACAGGATAATGATCCGAAGCATACGGCTGGTGCAGCAAAACACTGGTTCTCTCAAAATTATATAAACGTATTGGATTGGCCTTCATGCAGCCCGGACTTAAAGCCCATAGAGAATCTATGGCAACATGTAAAAAAAGAAAATCGCAGCTCATAAAATTGGAAATTTTGAGGAACTGTATGAAAGGACCTTGGAGTCATGGAATGCTATTCCTAAAAGTGTATGTGAAGCTTACATTAGTTCAATGCCACGCAGATAGCAAGCCGTAATTCAGAATAACGGTTTCGCAACAAAATATTGACGCGTTTATGGAATTAAACAACAATTACAATATTTTCTTATAACGTTTCTAATTAGCTGCACTACTGATTTTTCTATTTATGAATATTGGTGATTTTTTTTTTTACTAAACAAATTTTAAGTTTTATTTTCTTTTTTTGCGTAATATCGTAGTGTTTATTAAAATAAACTTTGTAAATGTTTTAGTTCGGAAATAAAAAAAAATCTTTACGTAACCTACTATGCACGCAGCTATACAGACATATATGTATGTATGTACATAAGTGTATATGTATATTACATTAGGTTTTCAATTCATCACATTAGGGGTATTCTCAAAGTCGTGCACGATGCACGGATTGCACGAAATGCAAATATACTATTCCAAATTTCGAAGAGTATGAGAGCACCCCATTGCAAAGTGGTAGCATGCATGGGCAGCAAGCAGCGAAATTATAGGGGTATTCTCGAAGTCTTGCACGATGCACGGATTCCATGAAATGCAAAAATACTATTCCAAATTTCGAAGAGTACGAGAGCACCCCATTGCAAAGTGGAAGCATGCATGGGTAACAAGCAGCGAAATTATGTATCAAATACAATAACAAAAGACAGCAAAAAAAGAATGTAGTGAGCGAGATGAGAGGAATGAGAGAAATATGTAGCAATTCCAACAACAAAACAAATAGCACAGGGTCTCGTTTATCTTGCTATGCTATTTTGCAAAATACATACATGGGTTTCGACGTTGCATATTTTTCAGCGATAGGAAATGTTGTTTCCCATGTATTTTGTTGTTGTGTGTTTGGAAGTTATGCAATCCATGCAATCCGTGCTACGTGCAATGGCTTTGCAAGATTTGGAGAATACCCCTTATGTATCAAATGCAATAACAAGAGACAACAGCAAAAAAAAAATGAAGTGAGCGAAATGAGAGAAATATGTAGCAATTCCAACAACAAAACAACTAGCACAGGGTCGCATTTATCTTGCTATGCTATTTTGCAAAAATTGTACATGGGTTTCGACGTTGCATATTTTGCAGCGATAGGTAATGTTGTTTCCCATGTATTTTCTTGTTGTGTGTTTGCAAGTTATGCAATCCATGCAATCCGTGCTACGTGCAATGGCTTTGCAAGATTTGGAGAATACGCCTATTGTGTTTACATTGTAATTGTAAAGCATTGGCACGGAGTGCCTCTAAATCAGCTTAATTTTTTATTAGTATTCAAAACAAACTTTCCATCAATAAATTTATATTTTTTTAAGTAAGTAAATTATCATACGGCGTATAAATTTCTGTCCTTTTGTTAATAAGAGTTCTTGCGAACATTAATCTTTCAACTGTTTCATTATTAAGCCTGTTTCTGTATTTATTTTTAGTGAGATTTATTTCTGAAAATTTTCTTTCGGCAGCAGCACTACTGTGCGGTAAAACAGTTAACGTCAGCAAACATATTTATGTATACCCCGCCAAGTTGCTAAACATACACCTTTCCAAAACATTTTTCTGGTCCTTACCTTAAGAAGTTACCATATTATTTTGTAATAAATTCTTAATGTGAATGGAAAAAAGAAAAAAAACAGAGCATATTTTAGGTCATGAGGAGTAGAGTAGATTTTAAATTTAAAAAGTAGGGTAGGTGCACTAATCGTCGGACAGCACTAAATGTCGGATACTTTTTGGTTTTACTTGCAAAAGTAAGCAAACGAAATATCGCATGATTTACTTTGAAGTGCCGTTTTAAGCAGGCCCACTGTCGTTGTCAATAACAAAGAAAATTGTTTTGAATGAGCCATTGTTTACACAATTCAGTCTGTGATCTTATGAAAAGTTATTCGCAGTATCTATTTTGCAAATTTTTCTTTAGCTTTGGCGACTAAATCAAATGGTAAGTATTTGATAGTAAAATAGTTTCAAGTGTCAAAAGTTGTGTGATTTATTGTGTTATGTCATTAAGAACAATAATTTAAAAACCAAAGTCGAAGTAATAAAATATTTGAACAGATGAGTAAAAGATCTGTAAGCATTCCTCACAAGGAATAATAAGAGAAGGCTCTTTGCGAAATCCGAAACAGGACCCTGTGTTTGAGAGCTGTTTGATAGCCCATCTGAAGTATGTTAACTTATAGTTGCAACAATGCACTTTCAACATGGGCTGGCAGTACTTTAAGACCATCAGAAGGGGCTGGCTGTAGACATTTCATCTATTTTCAGGACAGCCAATTTGAAGTATGTTTTTTATTTACAGTTGCAACAATGCAATTTCAACATGGGCTGGCAGTACTTTAAGAGCATCAGAATTGACAGGCAACCTTGAATTCATTTTATATGCACTGTAAGTAAAATTCTATCTAAATTTCAAGTTGTCTGAAGTATGTTGAGTAATCGGTTTTCATAGACATCTTTAATCGCTAAAAACGCATAATCAAGACCGCTGTTCAGCAGCCAGCCCTCCAGATCTCGATTTATATATTAACAAGCTAAGCCCACAAAAAATTTCAATCCATCTGAAGTATGATGAGTTTTTTGGTCATGAGCTCTTCGTCTATAATGAAAAAGATAGGCAAAAAGAAGAAGAAGAAGGGAAAAACGGTTAGCAAACATAGATAAAAAAAAAAAATCCGAAAAAGACTAGTATTGCAAAATAATCGATATCAATATAATTGTATATAAGCAAATATAAAGTATATATAGGTATAAGGAACTTATCAGCGATGCTGAATATAGTTTCAAAAATATTGGATTCGATATGTGCCCTTATTTCACTCTGCTATGTATGTATATATATGAGTTATAACTAGAAATTATTTTTAACTTCAAGGTCGTTAAACAAATTAATAATGAAGGTATGAAAAAACATATTTCCGTGCAGTTTTGCTTATTTACGACAATTGTAATTAGTAATTTCTTATATGTAATAAGATTTCTTATAAGTAATATTTTATTGTATATATTAGTTAGAAGTAGAACTCATTTTTAAGTTTTTGGTCGCTTAAAAAAATTAAAATAAATTTATAAAAAATTTATTTCATGTAGTTTTGCCTATGTCCGACAATTACAGTACGCTGCGTCCGATAATTGAAAAAGCTTGTCCGACTAATAGTACAACAGCACTTTTTTTAATTTTTTTTTTAATAACAACAAGACGGAAATATGCATCAAAAAAATTCTTTTTGATCACAAGTTGTAACTAACAGAAGCGCTTTAATCAATTCACTCCTATTTGTTATTATCAGTAGGCTTAAAATGGTCGCTTAAGACAATTAAAAAAACACCTAAACTGTCCGACGATTGATGCACCTACCTAAATCGTAGTAATTCTACACCTCTCTGTAGTTGGCAGGACAACTTTTTCTCAAAGCAAAAATTCTTCTCGGATAATTTGCCGTTAATTATCCGTAAATTATCCGCGAAAAGAATAATTTTTCCGCGGACATATTTAAAAAAATATCCACGGAAGTTAGCAGGGCACCTTCTGAAAACCAATTAAGGAAACCAGCTAAACCCAAACTAACTATTTGATAATTTGCCGTAAATTATCCGTTGTTTATCCGTGGAAAGAATAATTTTGCCGCGGACATATTTCAAAAAATATCGCGTGCCCTGCTAACTTCCATGGAAGTTAGCAGGGCACCTTCTGAAAACCAATTAAGGAAACCAGCTAAACCCAAACTAACTATTTGATAATTTGCCGTAAATTATCCGTTGTTTATCCGTGAAAAGAATAATCTTGCCGTGGAAGTCAAAATCTACGGTATATTTTTTCGCAGAAGCGCAACATATACACGAACATGAAAATATTGTCAGTTAACCGTCAAAGCGAAACCGAAATCGAACATTCGGTCGAACACAACAATGGCACGCTTTAATTCAAATTGGCAGTCCTGATCAGCGACGCAAAAATTATCTCTCTCTCTCGCATGGCGTCACATGGCGAAGAATTAAACGTTGTCTCTTCTCCAAGCGCATATGTACATATGTATCTATTATTAGGGATGTTGCGAATGTGGAATTTTAGACATCCGCTGATGCGAATGCGGATGCGGATGTTTATATGCTAACATCAGCGGATGCGGGTGCGAATGCGGATGTCATGTATTTTTATGAAATAATTTAGGTGGGTAAATAAAAAATGGAAAGGTTAATAATTTTTAATATTCTGCCTTATCCTCAGTTTTGCCCGAAAACAAATTCACCCGAAAATTTGTATTCCGCCCATAGTAAATATGTACATGAAAACCAAAAGTGAAAAGTTCGGGGAAAATTAAACTCATGATAAGACTGAATGTTTTTTTAGTACTTGGATTTAAGAATTGGAACATTGTACTTAATAAAAATTTTTTGAAGGGTCGTAAATCAAACCTGCGGCACTATACAACTACTCGCTCGAGGCGACAAACTTGAAAAACTAGAGACTTGACAAAATTGTAAATTCTTTTCGATTGACACTGCAGGAGAGGACTTTCAGTTATATTTATTTATTTTTATTGCGGTGCAATAATTACTTTTTGAGAATTTTTTTCGGGGCTGCAAATGTCGGATGTATCCTCCTGACTTTCATCTTCACAATCTAGCACCATGGCACAATAGTTGTTTAAACACCGTTTTTTTCGAAAGAATTCTTCATTCTCATCCTTTTGGTTGTTTCAGAATTTGTCACGTCATCAGCGTTTTTCGATTTTAGTTTTTATAACTAATTTTTAATGCTTCCTTCTGTGACTGGTTAGATATACGTCTGTGCACTTGCACAATATTCCAGGGACCGAAAATAACAGTTATTTTTTTCCGAGTTAATATTGGCCTAATATTTTTTATTAAGAAATAAACGTCCTATCCGGATAATAAAGAAACAGCTTATCCAAATCAAACAAATTTGGTATAATATGAAAGAGGGCTGAAATATCTTTTAAACAGAAATAACGAATGAAGGTTATTACCTCTATTTATATATTTTTATAACTTGATACTAAAGAAATTCATGTAAATACATGGCCCAATGTTTGTTCTATGGTAATTAATTACCATTTTTAATTGAAATATTTTTCAATGTGTGGCTTTCCTCTTTTAGATATTTCAGTTTTAAAGCTATTCAAATCCTCTTTCATTGGATACCAAACTTTTTTAATTTGGATAAGCGGTTTGTTTATTATCCGGAAAGTACTTTTATTTCGGAATAAAAAATACTTGGCCCAGTTTAAATCGTAAAAAAATAACTGTAATTTTCGGTCCCTTTAATATTCGCATTCGCAAAAGAACCGCATTGATTTTTGCGAATGCGAATGTTAAAATTAATATGGAAGTTCCGCGGTTGCGAATGCGAATATTCGCAACAACCCTGGTACATATATTTGTAAACGTACAGTTATGTCGTCGCCTCCGACAGCTAATGTTTGGGCTCGTTAAGCACTTGCTAACTCCCTCCTGCTCACGCTTGTCTATGAGAGACGCAAACATTTCCTCTCTCTCGCGCATGGCGTCCACGGAAGTTAGCAGGGCACGCGATATTTTTTGAAATATGTCCGCGGCAAAACCATTATTTTCACGGATAAACAACGGATAATTTACGGCAAATTATCAGATAATTAGTTTGGGTTTAGCTGGTTTCCTTAATTGGTTTTCAGAAGGTGCCCTGCTAACTTCCACGGAAGTATTTTTTAAAATGTGTCCGCGGCAAGATAATTCTTTTCACGGATAAACAACGGATAATTAACGGCAAATTATCAGACAGCTAGTTTGGGTTTAGTTGGTTTCCTTAATTGGTTTTCAGAAGGTGCCCTGCTAACTTCCACGGAAGTAAGCGGGGCACACGATATTTTTTAAAATACGTCCGCGGCAAAATTATTCTTTTCACGGATAATTTACGGATAATTAACGGCAAATTATCAGATAATTAGTTTGAGTTTAGCTGGTTTCCTTAATTGGTTTTCAGAAGGTGCCCTGCTAACTTCCGTGGGCACGCGATATTTTTTAAAATATGTCCGCGGCAAAATTATTCCTTTCACGGATAAACAACGGATAATTTACGGCAAATTATCAGATAGTTAGTTTGGGTTTAGCTGGTTTCCTTAATTGGTTTTCAGAAGGTGCCCTGCTAACTTCCACGGAAGTATTTTTTAAAATATGTCCGCGACAAAATTATTCTTTTCACGGATAATTAACGGCAAATTATCTGATAGAAATTTTTGCTTTGAGAAAAAGTTGTCCTGCCAACTTCAGAGAGGTTAATTCTAGTCCGATCGGAGCAAAGTCCGGACGCTGTTCCCCTTTCCAATAATTATGTTCTATTTCTTGAATATCTAGGTATGTTAAATTACAATACATCTTTGGATTTTATCACGTCGACATTTTTTTTTGGTGGCATGTATTTACATATTCTAGGATATTTAGCAATTTGCGTGAAAAGCCAAAATTAATTAATTTAGAATTGAGTTTTCACTTAAAAACTAACAGTATTAATTAAAAATACCCACAAACAGACTAAGTAAATCATACAAACTTATGTAATTTCGAAGTTAAGACTAAGAAAATTTATAAAAGTTATTTTCTTAGCGTAGCCGCGCATTACTAGCGTTAACTTCGAAATTGCTTAAGTTTTTCTGATTTACTTACAGCCAATTTCACGAAAGCAATTTAAGTAACAAATGATTTAAATTTTTTTGAATTTGACAGAAAATAAAAAATCATTTCCGCGTAATCATACGATGTATACCTAGCCAAGGACTGTCATTTCAGCATTACATGTACATGCTATTAAACCCGCAAACATATCGAGCCCTAACCGCGAAAAAGCAAATTTTACAGGAGACGTTTTTTTGTTTTTTTCTTAATCCGTTTGGAAAGTATCTTTGAAATTATAAATGTAGTCTAAGCCCGGTTCAGTTCAAGTCATAGACTAATTTTTATCTTCATTTAACTTAATTTGTAGGCGAAATTAGTTAATTTGGCGCTTACGTTAATTTCGCTGTCACCATGGCAGGCTACTAGGAAAAAATTTTGCGCTTACGTTAATTGAATTTCCCCAAAAACTTTCAAAAAACTTATTTTATTTTATTTTTTGTACACATTGACATATATAAAAACATAAATAAACGTATAAAAATATATATTTACAGTCAGTATTTACAGGTCACTACTAACTTCATTGTCACTTACGTTATTTTTTCGGTAACTCAAAACAGCAGATGTCGCTTACGATAAAATTGAAAGTCGTATATCTCTATGACTATGACGATTGACGATAAAATTTTTTAACAGTTGACCTGTTATGGGTTTAAGAACAATTGTACATCAAAAAACTAATTTCGAAAAATATGTCGCTTACGTTAATTTCGCGGTTAGGGCTCGATATAGTATGTTCCAGTAGTAGTCCGGTTTACAGGATTTAGCCAGAACTTACAGGAAGTCGTTCCTGTAGACATAAAACCTGTAAGTGCGAACACTTTTGAGAGAGTAACTGAGCAACTGTACCTAGTCAGAAGTTACAGTATTTAGTTTGGAGTTTTTTTTCTGTAAGTTCATGAAAAGTGTCAAAGTGGGCAGGGTTGC